ACTTAGAGACATGAAATGTGCATAATGTGTGACTGTCCGAAGAGGGTTTTGGTTTTATTTTGAATATATTGACTAGGCTGTAAGAAAATAGTGTCACTGATGAATTATTACCTCTCCTGAAACAGGACTACATTTTTTATCTACAAACTAAAATTATAGTTAGTGTTCTTACAGCACAGTTATTAAACTTTTTTATGCTTCTTTTTTGATGGCTCTTCATAGCCTTGCCTCAACAGGGCTAGAATACTTTCATCATTGGAGTTTATGTTGACAAACTGAAAGGCACATATCGGATTTTCAACCATTTTACAATAGAGCCATTAGAAATAACTATGGCAGGATCCATCTTCTTTCACTTTTGTTGTTGAATGTTCACACACGCACTTGTAGAAACCTGAGCTTTATGTGAGTATAACTTTATCCTTGAATAACAACAAATACTGAAGCCTCACACACGTACAGAGTAGAGGTAGTTTTTAGTGTTCACTCTTCAAAGCAGTAAATAATTAAGAAATTTGGCAAAAGTTCAATAGTGTCTTTCAAAATACAAACAATTAGCTTCTGAAACACACAGTTTTACTGCAACTTTCAGTGTCCTACTGGAAGTTGAACCCAGAGTCAACTCTATAGCAACACTACCTGGAATAAGGTCCGTATACTTAAAGTATAACCAAAATGGGCAACTTCAATCCTGAAGTGGCAAAGCTAAAACCTGAGATGCACTATCACTGAGGCCTATACCTGCTCTGAGGAAAAAACATGGAGTTGTTGAAGTAATACTTCTGTCATGATGGGTTCACTGATAGCGACCCAAGAATGCAGAACACCACTGATGGACACAAGGATGAAAGTTTAACAAGTTTATTTTGCACAAGCACACTGAATGTACTGGTTCAGGTTCGGGGCCTGGACACTGGTTCACCGGAGTCTGCGTGAGAGACAGTTCAGTTAGCGTTGCCAACAGAAGCTTGATTTCCTGAAGATTTCCTGATTGTACCTTGAGGGTTCTTGAGGTTAGCTTTGGGAGAGTCTCTGTTGGATCTGGAGAGGAGTTCATCAGCAGAGTCCGCTTGCTGCTTCAGCGTCTCACTTCTAGTAATGCACAGACCTTGGCTTTGGGTTTTCCAGCTCTTAGTTCAGAGCTGCTTGGAGGTTCTCTAGGATTCTTCAGGTTTGGCTCAGAGGGTCGGCTCGGCAGGTTAGCTCTTCCTGAGCTTCACAGAGGAGACACTGGTTTCCTGGAAGACAGAGACAATGGTTAGAATCCAGGCTGGATTCAAAGTCACAAAGTTTCACTGAGGATCTAGGCTTAGGCGCTGACCAACTGGATCAACACTGCGGCGTTGAGGCAAGGTCTGAAGACAGCTTAAGTAGTGGACCCTCTGATGATCTTGATGAGCTGCAGCTGTGCAGGAGGCTCCCTCAGAGGATCCACGGCGGACTCTGCTGGAGAAAGGTGGAACTTCTCCAGCTCCCAACAACTTCACCCACTGTCCTAAACTTCAACTTAATGAAATCTGTAATCTTTTTGTCTCTATTTTAAAAATATTTCTAAAACACTGTTTTACAAAGAGTGCTCTCTCCACCCCCATTTCATTATGTCACACCTTCCTTTAGAATAACTTAATTAATCACTGCTTCAGGTAAGAGATATCTTCTCATAAATAACAAAATAAGGGATTTTGTGTTTGGCCAATTGTTTATTTGTTGAATTATTATTTTTGGCAAAATTACATGATGTAAGAAAGCAGCATATGAGCTCTGCCCGCAAAAAAACTTTCCTAGTCCTCTTTTAAAAATACTAAAATTCTAATTCACTATTTAGACAATGCAACCCTGCATTGCTGCTTCAAAGTTTTAATGAGCCATTATACATAAGATATATGTTGATATCTGCAAATCAAAAATGTACAAATTTTACAGTAACCTTACATGTTAACTTCTGTAAGACAGATGTTGATTTATTCTGGTTTATTGTTTTATTTTGCCAGAATATATTAATGTATCTCAGATAACGGGTTATCTAATTTAAAAGAAGAAAAAAAAGAATTAATGAAAATAGCTGGAGAAACTTCAGAATTACTAAAAGTGTGCAGAATTACATATGCTGCTTACTCAAATGATATCCATTGTTCCAGTCTGCTTTAAACTATCGTGGTCGGGCTGGCACTGTGCTGCTTCCTCATAATTTTATTTTATTTCCAGTAACTACACAGGAGGTCAAAGTTAACATCCATGCTGTGCATCTCGACGAGTCGGCTGCCAAAATAACGGAGGCGTGATTAATGGATGTTTTTCCACCCTTATAGCATGTCTCCCTCAAACAGAGTAATGACCCTTTTCATAGATGCAAACCAGAGCTGCAGCTCATCATATTTGGAAGAGTATTCAAATAACAAAGTGCTTCACCCTAGACCAATTAATCAGCTAACAGCACTAAAGTCAGTGATGTCGAGAGACTGCTTCTATTCAGACACATTGCATGCTCTGCACCCAGAGAGAAGCTTTTTAATGCATCATTGGCCAGAAGGAGGGATACAAATTGTGCTTCCACACACAAAAATTTTCCACTTCGTGCTCACTGGTTGGAAAAATGCATACCACCAGCTGAGTTTATGTTGGTTGTGCATCTGATGCAACAAGTTGCTTGTTTGAGCAATACGGAAATCAGCTTTTTAGATCCAGATGATCCAGACTCACTAGGGAACCTCTTAGTTTGGTGTAGACATTCAGAGGTCTTTTTTTTTTTTACAACAACAACATGAAAGGTTTACAGTGTCTATTTTTAAGTTTCAATGACTGCAGTGACTTCCACCCATGATTTTATACTCTCTGTATTTTAAAGGTGAGTCTGCTGTTGAATTATTCTGGCTTAAACATGCATATAAAGGTACTCTTTATCAGATAATATCATCCCAAAATGTAAAAAAATATCTTTAAAAAAAAATATCCTGTATTAAATACTGCATAATTTTTTCGTTATTTTATACAGGCCAGTTGGTATTACGTCAGCTTGTACGCTTAAATTCGGCCTATCATATATCAACGGTCATCTATCAATCAAATTATTTTGGTCATAGCATCTTGATTCACATGTCAAAGCTAATATACACAACGGTTGAAATAAGAAATAAGAATCAGTATTTACTTGACTGTTAAGTTCCGCTCCAGTGTTCACGGGGATGGATGTCCGTGTCTTCGGCAGGCGTAGAGCTAACAGAACTGGCAGCGTTGTGAGGCAAGGGCTCAAACATGTACGGCTGTAAGCCTTCTACACCAAACCAAGCTTCTGCCGCCCTGGCGTCCCTTTCCACAACAACGTCATCCCTGTTTTCCTCCTGTAAATAAAAAATGTATGACAGAGGAGACTCATCCACAATTTCTGACACAAAACTCTCCTCCTCTTTCATTTTTCCGCTGTCCATAGCATTCTTTGACAGTGTCGATTCTAAGTCACCAATTTAGTGCTACTTGGTTCCAATGTAATTTCCCATTGGGAACCTACTAGCACTAAGTTACTCACTAGTGAGCAAGATGCTTCCGAGACACCGGCCACAACCAAACCAACTGTGGAGAGGGTGTACACTCTCCACAGTCTCTACATGCATGAGTCAACGACAAAATGCATGTGAAAATTGTTGCTTCTAGCTCATCTAGGAGGAACATGTCTTGAAGTCAATCAGCTTTTAACCAGTCTGACTGTATTGTCTCTATAAAGTGGCCTGAGATGTGTTGTGAATTGGCGCTATAAACATAAATAAACTGAATTGAATTTAATATGCATGGTTAAAGCTTTTTAAACATTGCTGGGGATTAGTTAACTTTTTTTTTTAAATAAGTATAAGTTTTAGGCTTGTCAACTTCATTGTCCGGTTACAAATTGGTATGTAGAGACCCTAAATAAAAGGGAACATAATGAACAACAATTTACAATTACAATGTATGCACACCCTGACCTTGCCACTTATGCCACTAGAGAATACAATTTGCCAAAGTCCAACCAATTTACCCCTGTGGGCTTTCAAGTATTCAAGTCAGAAATACAGCAACCTGGGCTTTGTGATGGGCCGTTGGCTCACTCTCCAAGGTCACTCCATTTTTTGTGACAGCTCGTCCAGAGTTAAATCCACCTGGAGAGACAACCACAGGCACTTAACAAACTAATGAGCGGCTGTATCTGCCAGAGGAACTGAGTGTCATCATGGCAGTGTTGCCTGTAGGGGGGATCGCTTGGAGAAGAAAAAAAGAAAGAAAGAAAACATGAACGCATGATGATGGATTGGGAAATAATGTGACCAAAAAAATAGGAGGTTATGAAGGGGGCTTTTCACTTCCTCCACAGAGGAGGCTCATTAACAGGGAAGTCAGCAGAAGCTTGGGCACTGAGGGAGGAAGAGATGGACCAGGCTGAGAGGAAAGAGCTGACATAGAACATAGAGAGAGTGAACTAAACAAAGTAGGGAAAAATATGTGAGAATGGAAAGAAAAGGGGTAGGGAAGGAGAGAATCGGGAGTTTGAGCGATTGCCCCAGATGTGGAGAATGTGTGTTGGATGGATGAATAGGTGGATAAAGGGGAAGAAGCGGTAATTACAGGCCTTGTTGTGTGGTTGGAGAGATGGAGGAGCCCCTAGTTCTGCACTGCCACTCTGCATTAACCTCACAGAATGAAATATTCAGCTATTAGGCCTTGGCTGAAACACATCCAGCACCCAAGCTCATGCAACATTTAAACACCATTCATGCTCTATTCATTGGAAAGAAGCTTATTGCAAATAATCATCACTTTAGATTTTAATTCAAGATGCAGTTTTATGGTTTCATTTGTAAATGCAGCACTGTGCCCGAGTCCACAGGTGAGTGCGGTGAGCCGGGATCAGCTCCAATTAAGTCTTGAAATCCTTTGTAAACATTGCCTGGGATTTGAATTTCTCACATCACACAGAGGGATAAAAAGGCTTTTTATCTTTCATTTGTTTTTTGTTTTTTTTTATCCCTCAGAGTCTGAAGTAACGACAGTGAACCGCTGCCTGGATGCCGCCAAAGCGTGCAACATAGATGAGACATGTCAGAAGCTGCGCACAGAGTACGTCTCAGCCTGCATCCAGCCGTCAGCCCGCTCAGGGCCATGTAACCGACCAAAGTGCAACAAGGCGCTCAGGAAGTTCTTTGACCGCGTTCCCCCTGACTACACCCATGAGCTGTTGTTCTGTCCCTGCACCGACACAGCCTGTGCCGAGCGCCGCAGGCAAACCATTGTGCCATCTTGCTCTTATGAAGAAAAGGACAAGCCCAACTGCCTGGCTCAGCTGCGAGACTGCAAGCAAGACTATGTGTGCAGGTATGTATGCTTGTTTTCTGATATATCCCTGTTTAGACTGTTTTTTAAAAACTGCCTGAACTCTGTTATAGGTCAACTATCCTCTGTTTGCATGTAAACCATTCAGCACATACTACCCTAAAGGTATAATTTGAGATTCCTGAAATAGGCTTTTGTCAGGAGATTACAAACAGTATTTATCTCACCAACCGTTAATAACTGTGTTGGCATTAGGGGTGGGACTTGGCAAGGATATTGCAATATGATACGTATTATGATATATGTGTCATGATACAATTTAGCCTGAAATATCTCAATATACTAACAGGAAGATAAATTAAAATTTTTAAAATAATATAGCTCAGGAAAGCTTTATGAGATCTTCTTGATGCTCTCTCCCGTAGAACCAACTCCCAGTTTTAGTCCATGAGGCAGACATCCCGTCTCCATTTAAAGCTATGGTCAAAACGTTCCTTTTTCATAAAGCTTAGAGTTAGAGTGGCTAAAGTTATCCTAAGTCTTCACTATAGTTGTGCTGCAAAGCTATGGGTTGTTCTCTGTAAGACAAACATTAGTTAATTGAATTCATAATTAAATAAGTTTAACACGCTGATGAATGTATTCTGACAGTAGAAATATGCTCTAAAATGATTGATGTTGAATTTGGATCTTCATATGTTCTAAGCTAACATAAGCATCAATGTTTATATCGAGAAAAGTGAGACTTCAATTAACTCTTTAATTACAATGGAACACAAACAACTACTGATTAACATTTTTTTCTTTTTATGTAAACAATGCATTTATCAAACTGTCAGATAATGACAGAGATGACTGTTAGATATTAAGTCACCTAGGGAAAAAAAAATATTGTCCTAAGAGGTTGGATTTCTTAGAAAGTAGCGAATTACATGTGCATTTGTATCAAATATAGCTGCTTGTATGAGTATTTACATATGTCCACATTTTTCAGAGCCTTGACCTTAAGAAAACATAAATTAGGAGCAGTAAAATTACATGTCTGAGATAAAGACATTGCCTAAGTGGATCATTTATAAAAGAACATGAAGATGCCTTCTGCAGCAGCCAATTTCCCTCTCTAGGTCAGTTTCCCATCCAAACACAACACCTGTTCACAGACAAATATAATATAAATAATAACAAAGTTAGAAAAGTTAAAATAAATGTAAATATTCACATTTGAAAATAACAGATGATTCTATTTCTAGCCTGTTTTGAACATATTGGCTGTGTCCAAACATCCACCCTAACCCACATATAGGACACTATATAGTAGTTGCATCATTTTAAATGGGTGTCCGAATGTCTAGTGGATAAAAAAGTAGTTGACATAAAATTTCCCACAATGCTCCTTGAAAAGTAGTGATCATCCATTGTCTTTAGACGAGCAGATATATCCCAGAATGCTTTGCGAGAGATCACCCCCCAGAGCATCATGGGCTTGCAGTCGAGTAGCGACAGAGGAAGCAAATAACAACAATAGCGCATGCATTGTGTGGGGAAGCAGAGTTATGTGACTAATGAAGAGCAAAAGTAGTGATCATCTGTCCAAATGGTCAGTTAACTGAGTTCACTGTAAAGTCCACTATATAGTCCGCACACTGTATAGCGATTGAGGGATTTAGGGGTTAGGGCGGACGTTCGGAAACAACCAATGACTTTAGCTGATGAATGTCCAGCCCCTGATTGTTTGACTTTCACCCTTGACCTCCTGAGCAATTTCGTTAAATAGCCCTGCTCTAGAGATTAAGTTGTGTTCTGTATCTTTAAGCAGAGGTTTGTGAAGTGTGACATGGTCATTTGAATGAGAGATGTCAGTTTTGTTTAATTATCTTAACTTTAATGTTTATTAACCTCATTCATTTAGTTCAATTGATGTCCACATTCATTTTCTGAGGCAAGCGGCAAGGCGACAAGCAGCCATGTGAAATAATGGTTATAGTAAACAGCTGTTATCACTCAGGGTTCATTTTGTTTTCTACTGTACATGCTCAGAAAATATTAAAAACAAGGTCTGCTTATGGACCTGAGAGACATGCAATGTTATCCTAATGAGTTTTTTTATATAAACTGAAATATGTGTTTATTTGTCCCCTTAATAAAAATGTGATGTTATTAAAACTTTGATGAACTGTAGTTTGTCTAATTAAAAAAAGCCAAACAACATGCCATTAATTCATTAGGATTCATAAGGGATGTGTCTCAGGAGCAAGGACTTCTCAGACCCATCCTGTCTGTTCTGTTTTCTCTGTCACCAAACGGTCTCTAACATTTAATCTAGCTCCTTTCAAATGTCAAAAAGACAAAGGACTTCATCTGTCATGCCTATCGATCAGGCATCGCTCTCTGGAATGGAGCTTCTCAAGGCCCTGCGTTGCCCCCCAGTAATCCCACAACAGTCAGCCGGCATTAAGCGGCTGCCTGCAGAGGCTGCCTTCACTCACTGCACAGCCTTTGAGTTTTATGCACATCATTACAATGACATGACAAATGAGGCCAGGACGCAGACTTGTGGCACCCTGAGGGAATCATGCTGCAAGCGATAGTGGATCGGTGGCCAGTGATGCGATATAATGGTGGAGATAGCCCTGTATGATGATGACGGTCATGAGGGTAGTGGTGGGGGTCGCGCTGACTGAAAAGGTAAGGAGGGGAAGGCAAAGTGACCATGAGAGGATGGATTTATATTCAACATCCTTATCTGTCTAATATGCTGTTTGGAGAGGTGCCACCTGTTAGACAACACGAGTGGTATTTAGAGAGTAGAGCCAAGGCCTGTCTTTGTCTTCCATTGACTCTTTACAGTCTGCCAGACTTCAAGACGATAACTAGTCGGGGAAAGGCAGAATTAATGAGTGGAAGTGTGGTAGAGTGGGAGTACAGGGAGTTGATATAACAGTATGAGTATTTAGAGGAGCATTGTGGGTTTTAGATCTGCATCCTGGTGTTAGAAAGAAAGTGCTGCTGCTCGACACCATGAAGTGACACAATGAGTGCAGCAGCCAAGCACCAGTAAATGATGGATGGCATCTTATTGCTCCCACAGGTCTCGCTGGGCACAGTTCCAGTACGACTGTGAAGCGTCTGAGCACAGCGCCAGTGGCTGCAAGAGGGAGAACCATGGATCATGTCTTCTTGCGTACACCGGCTTGATTGGTAAGGACTACGTTTCTCTGTCGCTCAGCCCTTACTGTGTTCTATCTGGATCAAAAAGGCGTTTTTACGCCAAGAAAGGCTCTGAGCCGACAAGCTTGCTGAACACAACTCAAAAGAATAAATCAAGGATTGTGATGAAAGGCATGCCTCAGTGATCGATGGTATGCTGATTAATATGCCCAGCCACTGGCATTGTAAGTAGTGCAATTACAACTTCTGACTGCTGTTATAAAAGAATCCTCCCCAACATTTTGATCAAGTAGAGCACACAAAGGCTTTCAACATGGCTATTGTACTTCAGATACAAACGTAAACAATCAGACAATGTTCAGAAGGTTGTTCAAAACATGAACCTTAAAGAAGTCATTGTAGAAAAGGAAGCATGGCTTTAGTCACACTGGGCAGAAGACAGAAAGTTGGGTGTTTGGATTGAATAATAGACATATTAAATAAAGGTTCAAAGAAATTTAATGGAAACAAATCAAAACGTTTACAGCGGCATGCTCGCCACATCCATTGTGAAAGGTCCTTAGCGTTTAAAACTAGACACATCAGGAGACTTACTCACCTATGAATAATTTACCTGATATCTTTTCAGGCAATTTATAAACATCAGTATGAAGATAGCAAATATGATCAGTTGATTGTGAAGAAGAAAGAAAAACTCTGAGATAAGAGGCAAAAAATAAACTTTTTAATTATATTTGAAGACAAGCCAAACTGCCTTTGTGCTTCTTTGGTCACAACGGTCCATTTGTTTAAAACCCAACCCAGTCAGGAAGATTGGATATATACCCTATGTATGACAACCATTAGAAGGATTTGGTAAAACATCTGACATCATAATGAGACCTGTGCTCAACACCTGATGGGTCCCATTTTAGTTGTAGAGCTACACATTTGGATTGTGCATCCCTACTCAGAACTGTATTTGGAAGGCACCTCCAATTAAATCGATATTCACAACAGTGCCACTGAATTCCCATTTATATTCATGGTGTAACTTTTTTTGTTGTTTGCATTTTTGACATGCTGCTTTGGTGCAACAAGCGAAAGTGTAAAGTTGATGTTACAAACAGAAAAAAAAGAAAACTAAATAGTGAACATTCACACTCTTATCTGGTAAGAGAGATTACAAGACGACAAGCTGGTCACTAAATATAAGCCTTAGATAAATATTTATAAGAAGCATTTGAAATTGGCATAACAAAGATTACTGCGGTTAAAAATGAGGCGGACGAAAAAGGATGCTTCATTTCAATTTCAAGCAACTATTCTTACATCTAATAAGCTGCAATGGTAATAAAATATTTTGAACATACAGTCCCCTGCTGGTTAAAATGTGTATAGAAACTCAATATACATTTTTTTCTTTACTAAAAAAAAACTTCTTCATGCTAATGAAAATTACCTTCAATTTTAACCTACCAGAGTTTTTTTTTTTTTAAGTCAAATCCATGGACAAGTTTCCCAGCCATATGGACCCCATATGCCAATGTTGGCTGGAAATATGTAAACCTAAAATAAAAATATATACAAGGATTTTGCATATTAAAGCTTGGTGCCCCAGCTATTATATTTTTAATAAGGTTCTGTTGTGTTGTAAGATCATCGTTTGAAGTACATAGAGGAAAACTGAACAAACTTTTAACTAATATTTTTTCTCTATTTCTTGATATCCAGTGTTAATGTGCCTGATTTCTCTGTTTCTTTTGACTTATCTTTCATCTATCCAGCTTTTTAATCCATTTCTCTATCCATCTAAATGTGTTCATGTACATGCATGCAAACATCTCTGCCTAAACCTGATTAGACTATTGCTGTGATGATAGAAATGTCTGTTTTATTTGATTATCATAATCAGAGTAAGGTCTTAATCTTTCTAAGTATAACAAGATTAAATCAGTTCTGCCCAAATTGACTTTCAACTCCAGTTTTATCATTTTTGTGAATTGAGTCAGAAACTGCACATACTATCTCATTTTCAAATGTAGATCTCTACTCTGTAAGGAGAACAGCAGGGATTGGGGTAGTTTAAAAAAAAACAAACACATCTAAAAATGCATTTTGTGCATCCTACTGATCTGATTCAGGCAGGGCATAGTGACATGAAGCACTATTTTACCGCAGTCAAACAGTAAAAATCCAGATTTGCCTCATTTTATCTTCTCTTCTTCCTCCTTTGCAGGAAGCACAATAACCCCCAACTACCTTGACAACTCTACTTCCAACGTAGGACCCTGGTGCTCCTGTGCAGCAAGTGGCAATCACAGGGAGCAATGCAATGACTTCTTGGCTTTTTTCCATGACAACGTCTGTCTGAGTGAGTAGCAAGAAGGACATATGGCACGACCCAAACAATAACTGCCTCAGTAAGGTACCAGAACAACTATGAGAATAAAGATACCCTGCAGATCTGTATCAAAAGGTGTTTTTTTTACAGCAGACTTCCACTATAAAAACATGAGTCAGGCTAAACTGCAATGGCTTTTAATTCTTTTTACATTTACAGTTTGTCTTATTTTAAGCACAGAATTGTTTTTTACTGAGATATTATGTGGTTGACCAACCTAAGTGGCGCTTATGTAGGAATTGGAAAAAAAAATCTGACATGCAAAGCTTACGTTTGCATTTTTTGCTCCACATCTATAATCTATAAGCCTAAATCAAATTGAGAGAAGCAAGAATATGTTCTTGCTTTTTCAAATATGGTTGAAAGACAGGCATAAGAAGCTCAATTTTCTATTCATGTGGTGTTGTGGTTAGATCAAATCTAAAATGAGCTGTTTAAAAATAATATGAAGCCAAAAGAGCCAATGTGTGTTAAATGCTCACACAAGCAGTTTTTAATTCAAACACACGTTTAAACTACCCTCCATGCACATGTGTCCCAGTAGATTCTCTTCTACTTAGTGTGCCACAGTTTTTGTCACTCATGTCAACCCTTTTTCACTTTAAGGTGGAACCAACCTAAGACAGTAAACTTCCTGTGATTGACTGCTTTTCAGGAAATCAACGTTAGAAAAACATCTTAAGGCTAATTATTATCATCTTATGGCTAAGAATTATGATGTACTGAAAAGTAGCCAATCATATGCAGTTAACTCTCTTACTGTAGGTAGGTTCTCAGGAGTAGGTTTTTACATATAATTAAGAGTGAGTACTTTTGACAGAATTCTGACTTCACAAACACACTTACTACGTACAGTGGTCTAAATCTAAACCTGATTCTTTGGAGAATATCCGGCAGAAACTACAAAAACCTATACAGTCTAACTGAAGTTTAGGTACTTTCCGAATAGGATTGATGCTTGTCTGTTGTAATCGAACAAAATGTAAACAAATGTAGGTTTAAAAAAAACATATTTTTTTATTCTTTTTTAGAAAAATATATCTATGGACACCATAACATTTCTCATAAAAAATAACATGCAGCTAAACAGCCATGTACAAAAAGCATAACCTGTTCAATCAGCTGAGGCTCTTTTATCTGTTCTTAGTGCTGTAGTACCTCTAACACTTATGCTCTCTTTGAATAGTTTCAGCCGGCAATGGAATTGGCATTGGAGATCTGATCAGTCTTCAACTATTCCGTTAAATCAAGGCACTCTGTGTTCCACCACTTTCCTCAGTATCTGTTCTGTGGATTTAACTCCATTTAATAATGTTTGCTTTTCTTTCACTGGATCAAAACAGAAGTTCTCAGAGGGTATTTTACAGGAAAGAAAAATGTAATATGTTCATTCTTATTATGTGAAATTTATTCCAGAGTGGGTAGGGGCCGTAAACAAACATTAAGTCATTTAGACAGGAATACCTAGAAGGCATAAAATGAAGATCCACATCTAATTATGGCACTAGTATATTTATCTACAGTGTGCAGATGATGATGATGATGATGATGATGATGATGATGATGATGATGATGATGATGATGATGATGATGATGATGATGATGATGATGATGATGGAAACAGGAGAGGTTATGAGCTTAAAAATCCCCTACAGGTCAAAAAATAAATGTAAAAGATTCCTTGTAGCTGAAGGCTGCTCCTATGGGAAGGTTGGGTAACAGACCAGAACATGTTAGCAGTCCAACTAAGAAGAGCATGACAAGAACAGAGTAAGCTGGTCCTGCAATATAAATGAATCCACAAAAGGCTATGCAAGAAAAGGCAATTATAGAATAAAGTCAGCTGAGAAAATCAAGAAAATTGTGTTAGTGCGAAAATGGGAGAAAAGAAAGAACCCTGTTTAAGGTCCTAATTTATGTGAAAACTAATGCTGAGATTTTTTTTTTTTTTTGCTTGTAATTATTATGCTTTTTATGTTACAATCACAAATTTTAAAGTGTTTTTTGTTTGTTGCCATCCAACAATGTGGTGTGTCATTGTAGAGGAAGCAAAAGGATACATAGTTTCCTTTTTTCCAACAACTGAGAGCTTAATTAAACCCTTTGAATTGCCTATGTTGGAACAGGGACACATCTGTATAAGAAAGTATGAGTAATGGAGTTTGCTAGTGGGCCAAGAAATCACAAATAATGTCCAGGAAAGAGAAAGCTAACAGCTTACTGATCTTTATAGATTATAATTAGTAGTAATTCAAAGCAAAATCATAAAAAAAGGAAAAGGGGATGATTTAAAATCGCAGGGAAGAGAAAACAACATAAAATGACTAAGCTAAGAACACCCCTCTTTAAAAAACAATGGGAACACAGACACCTTCCTTTAAGACCCCAGACTCCAAAGTCAGTCCTTAAGATGCTTTTACATCAGACGTCAATTTCCTACCCCAAGCAAAGACTATACATGTTGTCCCTATGTAGAGGGTGGCTCAGGAGCACCTTGAGACAACAAGGTGAACGACACAATTTTAGCGAGGGGAATTACACATTTTTAGCGATTACTGTGAAGAGCTCCGCTGCACCTGCAAAGACTAGGAGGTGAAAATAAAGATAAAAATTCTGAATTTTGTAGATATTCACATCAGGTAAAAAAAAAACATTCATGGACCAGATGAGGCTTTGATAGAGGGTGAAGGAGGATAGGGTTTTTTTCTATCAAAATGGAAGATAGATAAAATAATGTTAAAAATTAGATAGTAGGGAATGCTCTTAATGGCATGGGATGTTATTGCCATTTAGCCTAGATGGATGTCTTCTTTTCTTAGCTCCAGCGCAGGTGTTCTCCGTCTAGCTGTCTTTTCCAATCTACCAATGTCCATCTTGATTGATTGATTGATTGATTGATTGATTGATTGATTGATTGATTGATTGATTGATTGATTGATTGATTGATTGAATTGATTGACTGATTGATTGATTGATTGATTGATTGATTGATTGATTGATTGATTGATTGATTGATTGATTGATTGATTGATTGATTGATCTCNGATTGATTGATTGATTGATTGATTGATTGATTGATTGATTGATTGATTGATTGATTGATTGATTGATTGATTGATTGATTGATTGACTTTATTGATCTCACAGTGGAGAAATGTACTCGCTACATCAGCTCAAATAGTCAAAGGACAACAAGAAGGTTCCAAAGGATACAGGATTATTATACAGGGTTAACTTTTATCTCCCGCTGTTACCTCCAAATCTAACCCTGTTCAGTCACAATGTCAATTTACCGCTGTTCTCCTCCGTTTTATTGCTCTTGCTCTTTGGGTCCAGAGGACATCAGGGCTGGTCACCTCATCCTGGTTCTGGTGTTTTCTCTGACGGGGGTTCTTGCTCTGATTTCCTGCTGCTCCTCTGTGAGCAAAGTGGAAGCATCACCAGAGGAGCTCCTGGATCAGGGGGCGCCAACAGCTTTGTTTGGCTTTCCAAAGTAAATAAACCACCCTGAAATTCAGGTCTGCCATGCAGAAGTGAACCAACAACAAGCAGAATTTATGACAAAGTAAAGCCTTTTGCCCACTGTGCAACCTGCTTTCTGTGAATCTCTGGCCAAATTTCTAGGAAACAAAAGCCCACGAAACAGGCTATTATTTTTGCAGGTTTTAAGCTTGATTTAAATGCCCCATTGGAGCCCATTATTTTTAAATGGCTCATTCCAATCCTCTGCAGAGCTTGTTGACATACTGAAGAATTAATTCAGCCATTTAAACAGTGCCACAGGAGCCAGCTCCCATCTAAAACTTACAGAACATTGGCTTTTCGGGGTTGGAGCTGGATACCTCTGCTTTGAGTACACCTGAGCCACAAAGGGCTGAAATTAACAGAAGTTCACTTTATAGACTGGCAGTGGTATAATCTGTGGTACAAGATACAGTGGTATACCTCATATAGGCACTTTAATATTTGTGGTTTTAGTATAACCACCTAAAAATAAGCAGAGATATGTATCAATCACTGTGATATTTATGATGATGAATCATAGCAATGACGACTTAAATGACAATGATTTGTATGACACATCATGTTATTTGTCATGCATTGCTCTTCCTGTTACTCTTTTCACAGATGATCAGCCCCCTCCATCCCTGTGTCTTTAATGTCAAGCCATGAATGACATAGAGTCTTGTGCATCTCTTCAGCAAAATGTGAAAATCCAGGCAAGATTTATGACTAGATTGTAAACAAATGGGCTGTTTTCCAGAAGTAATGATGAAGTGCAAATTCCCACAAATGTGAAAATGGCCTCAATTGTCTTTGAAGTCATTCTGTTCTGTACATTTATCCATCAGTTGTTTATAGTCTCTTCTCCTCACTGGTTCCCAACCCCAGTGTTCCCTGTGTAGCAGGTTACATGTAAAAAGGTTGCAACTTCATAACAGATTTTTTTTTTTTGTCAAAGTAAAACCACAAATGTTTGATACTTCTCCCTACTTTCAAACCAAAAAAGAATCTTAAAAATACCTAATTGCATTGAGAAACTAATACTGTCAAATTTTTAAGAGTTTTGTGCATTAAGAGACTGGAAGTTCTGCACATGCTTCTTTGCAATAGTTATATGCCAATTTATACAAAAATAGTAATGCCTCTGATATTTGAATATTTTAGCACCAAAATCAGTTCTAAAATCTGGGTATTGATGCTTTCAATACTACCGTAATTTAAGAAATGAATGTAAATGAATAAATGAATCAGCTAAATGCACTCTTTCTTGAGAACCACTTTTCTTGCGCCTGGTGTCTGGAAAGGCTCAGTACGTAATTTCAAGCACAGTGTCCTGCCATTGCTCAGCTACTTACAGACAGGAATAGATTATTAAATAAATGGGTGATATTGAACATCAGAACTTTGCAATATAACTATTAAATTTAATGTGAGATCGGGCAATCAAAACAAGGATTTAAAAAAGC